GCACAACACTCTTTGCGTTAAAGATTTGTTTCCGAAGCCACATTCGGATTCTGGCCCGGTGTTTCTGCTATGCATTTAGAGATTCTTGACAAAACGCAAAGAAGAATCTTTAACATTATCTGTCCTGACCTGGCATCTTGGTTTCAGTTATTTTCCCAACGCCCTTAACAAAGTTTCCACATGTCTTTTTTTTTATAAATATTTCCACCTTAATTGTTCTTTGCTCTTTATTCCCCAGACCCTACAGAAAAATTGTACATATGAGAACTAGTTTGGGCTTCATAGAGACCTTGGGGTATTATGGTGATTGTAATGAGAATGGTAAGTAAAAAGGTATTGTTTTTGGTGTAAGGAATACTGTAGGATGTTTGGGCTAGTAATTGTTGCTAGCTAAGTTTAATTATAAGACGGAAGCCCAAACGTCCCTATTCACTCTTTTTAACCTTGTGCCACATTTTTGTACCTTCACAAAGTAAATATTGATTTCCTGTATTATATTTTTAAATATTGTTATTTATGTCCCCAACAAGGCAAAATATAAATAAGGGAACTAGTTATGGCTTCATAGAGACTTGAGGTATTACGATGACTGTAGTAAAAATGGTAAGTAAGAATGTGTTGTTTTTTATTATTTTTTTTTTTGTTTTAAGGAATACTGTAGTTTTTTTAGGTCCGTAATTGTGGCTGGCTAAGTTTAAGTCTTTCCCATCGTCCCTTTTGGCCTTGTCCCACATTTTCGTATTTCACACAAAATAAATATTGCTTTCCCCCTTTGCTATCTCGGTTTCGCAAATTTAAGCGCAGTACTAGATTGGAAGTAGGGGCTCACTGCTTCACTATTTAAATTGCTAATTGTAATTTCATGTTAAAAGTATCTTTTCACGAACTTATTCATTGTGGAACGTCCTGCTTTCCTGTCAACTGTTATATTAAATAATTCAAACATCGTATTCTTGAACCGTTTTCTTCGTCTTCTCTTTCTACAGAGAGAGAGAGAGAGAGAAAGAAAGAGAGAGAGAGAGAGAGAAAACAGTACTCAAGGAGACAGAAGATGACGCTTGACATTGGGTTTGAATTTTTTTTACCAGAAAGCAGGAAGCTGGGAGAAAGTTCCAAGAGTAAGAAGTGTCCTTTCAGTGGATTGAAATTGTATATTCGGGAGATTTCGTTTACTAATATCTTTTTTTTTCTTCACGAATTGCATTAATGTTCATAATATTAGCTTACATTTGTCCAGAGCCACTTGGACATTGATTGAACTATCAGACGCCCCTGTAATGGTTTGTAAGATTAAATAAAAAAATAGATAAATAAATCTAATTTATTAAACCATCTTTTCTCAGACACTGGTTGCCATGACTCTCGATTATTTCCCTTCTTTGTAACTTCTGGCGCTACAATATCTTTACTTGATCCTGCTTCCCATGCTTTTAATATGTCCAGTGAGTGCTAAACCTTCTTTTCTCATATCTACAACTAAACTCAGCTTCCTTATTGTACGCATACATTTTATTGTATTGAGGCTTTGAGATTTCACCCTTCAATTTTATTGTCCATGGCTCTTCACCCTTTTCTTAAATCATATAGCTGAATCCATCATAAAATTCAGGATGCCGAATTAGTAAATACCAATCACTTCACGCGTATGGATCAGTTATGTTATATATATATATATATATATATATATATATGTGAAAAGTGAATATAAATATAAATAAATATATATATATGTATAATTATTTATATATTATATGCGCGGTACTTATTAGAAAGCGCTCAATATCAGAGATAGAGCTAACATATTTGGTTGGTTCAAATATTTTTCAACGGAAAGAAAAAAAAAAATTTCATAATATGACATGGATACATTCACGAGACAATAACGAGACATTTCCGCCACACTTCCAATGTTTAAATTTCAACATTTCAACATACAAATGCGTATGTATAGACATAACACCACCCGTATACATACATGTGTCATAGCCGAAACTGTCTACATATGTTTATATATATGTATGAGTCCCGACGGACGACCAAGTATGTATATGTATATGTGTCTGCATACATCGATGTTTGCGTTAGTACGATGAATGACAAAACGACGAAATCTCCCCACCACTTCCACAATAACACCAATACACGCAATCTACATAAACCCAAATTTTTTAAAACAGTAATCAGTTTGTCTGACGATCGCTAAAGCGTGAAACCCAGGGTCACAAACTCACATCTATCAACCAATATATATATATATATATATATATTATTATTATTATTAATTAATTAATTGATTTAAAATATGGCTTTTTCCGCTACACAGTTCTAACCATGTTTCAAAAATCAAAGCTAAAAACTGCGAATTTAATTTTGTAATTAAATTAAAGATATTAGTTCCATTTCATCCTCAAGAGAATTTTGGAGTAACTTATTATTGGGTTTTAAAAGCACAGCAAAAATCATAATTCACGTCTCCAAGGATACAGAGAAACCCATTCATCCAGACAAGGGGTGTTTGCGATTTCATTATCGCTGTATTTTGATGTATCCGTTATTAGTTACGTTTTGGTAGGGGGTAGGGATGTATTTTTCAATGAAATCTAACATCCATTAAATGCATGTCGTCTGGATTTTTTAAAAATTTATTGTTAAAGACAAAAATTCTTACGTCATTTTTTTGCATTTGTGTATTTAAAGATTTGGTGGGGGGTTAGGTTAGAAAAAGTTTTATTTAACTACGATTTGAAAAATATTTTCACTTTTAATTTTTAATATGCTATATTTCTTTTTCAACATGCATGCATTTAACGGATGTCCGAATTCATTGAAAAATACACCCCTACCCCTACCAAAATGTAAGTAATAACGGATACATCAAAATAAAGCTATAATGAACACGCAGACACCCCTTGTCTGGTTGAATTGATTTCTCTGTATCTTTGGAAACGTGAATTATGATTTTCGCTGTGCTTTTAAAAACCAGTAATAGGTTACTCCAAAATTCGCTTGAGGATGAAATGAAACTAATGTATTTAATGTAATTACAAAATTAAATTCGAAGGCTTTTAGCTTCGATTTTTGAAAAATGGTTAGAACTGTGTAACGGAAAAACCATATTTTAAATGAATTGATTTACAATATTAATGCTCTGTAAATTTACATTGAGCACTATTTTTAAAAATAAAAATATCTATAAGAACACCGGATTATATATCTTACTGTTCTTTCTTTTCATTCATATATATATATATATATATATATATATATATATATATATAATCAATTATCTCAAATTCTAATTTCTATCACTTGTATATCCTTGCTTGAACCGGCTTCTAATGCTCTAGATGGAGCGGCTTGGGGATAGTAGTCGTGGCTCGTGGGGGTAAAAGAGAAATTCGGATGAGTTCCACTACGGAATATGTGATCGAGAGGCGCTATATCGAGTCTGATTCGCTACCTCTTCGTCACCGAGGCATGTTGGTACAGTTGGTAGGACGTTTGCCTGATAACGTAACTATACGGGTTTCAATTCTCGGTAGTGGATGTGCACTGCTGATGAACCAGCGTCCAGTGCTTTCTCCATTCTGTGGAGGTTTCATCTAGACTCGATGACTTATTAATTATAAATATATATATATTTATATATATTGTTATGGTAAACTATCTATCTATCTGTTATAGTAATTTACCTACGCATGCATGGACTCTCCCAGTTATAAATAGGAGCAGGTACTGCCTTTTGGAGAGGTAAGTTTCCAGCAGTCAACTCTGACAGTCGCACCGAACATTCTTGCCGAAACACTCTCGTTTGTATTACTGTTTCTGTTAATATATTTGTTTAACTCAATTCCTCTCTTGTGTCTTTATTTCTGGTGCTAACAAGGCCACAAGTAGTTATAACATTGATTATTAGAGCAAAGAAATAGAATATGTTACGCCAATGGTACTCTCGCACTACGATGCAAATTACTACAAAACCAAAGCATCAACCTCAAAACTCAAGTCATGTTCTTAAATGGCCTCATCAAAATATCTATCTCAGTATATTAATTTTATTTATTTATATTTTTTATATATATATATATATATATATATATATATATATATATATATATATATGTATTCTTACGTTCACAGCATTTATTATATTTTTCATATAGACAAAAACAATTTACACCAGTCGAGGTGCAACTAAATGCAGCGAAACAAAGTTGCATCTTTTAGTGAGTAAATTGTTTTTTTCTATATGAAAAAAATATATATATATATATATATATATATATATATATATATATATATATATATATATATTTTCCTTTAATATAATTTTATCATAGACAAAACCATTTGGTTTTGTCTATATGATAAAATTATATTAAAAAGAATAATTATCATCTTTTATCGGTATCGAGCCCTCTTTTGGATTAATGCTTTGAACGTTGGAATTTATATATTACTTTCGTTCTCATCGCATCGTGTATATATATATATATATATATATATATATATATATATATATATATATAGAGAGAGAGAGGGGGGGGGAGTGATTACATAGAATAGAAATTCAAAATTGCCGCATATGAATAGCTATTTCATCCTACAAGAGCTTCCTTGTAGGGTCAAATATCTATTATCTATATATATATATATTAGTCAGTTCATCTATCTATCTATCTAACTATCTATCTTTCTTTATGAGTGTTCATCATCTATCTGCTGGTAATTTTACTATAAAAATGTACCGTTGATTTTGTTTTTTTTTTCAGATGTTCCCTATTTGCCCATATATGGGACCCTAACAGGCGCCAAGACCCAGGATTTAGGGTGAACCTGAAAACAATAGCAATTAAGAGGTGGTTCTACGCACCTCAAAATCTCCAATCTCCCGATCAGAGGCCTCGATACCGGATGTAGTTTATCGTCACACTTAGGACGGGATCAGTTTAAGGATGAAGGTGATCATGGCAATCTATATATTCATTTATTTTTTATTATCTCTGAATTGTCAGGACTTCTTGGGAAAGATACAGGAGTAGTTACAGTTAATTCATTCCCCGGTTTTGAATTTAGAATTCGCTTTCTCTTAGATTGTTTACCACCGAAATTGAGAGAGCTGTCAACCCTGCTATTAATAGCCTTATAGCCGGAGGGCGAACGAAAGGAATCGTACCATTCACCATGGGCATTCGTGTAAAAAATGAGCGCAACTGACGTGACAGACTTTTGAACTTGATCCGCTGAGTCCACTTTCCACGCCGATAACCTTTATGTAAGCGCATATCCCTTAAGTTAACCAATTCTAGATTTATAATTAAGTTCGATCCTCGAGGGCGATTCAACCAAACCAGATCTGCTACGGGTTAATGCCTGGATCCTGGGGTTCTTTTAAAGAGGCAAATGCCGAGGGAACTGAGAACCTGTGCCTTGATCCCTTGTCCTATGTAAAAGTCAGCTTTCTAAAATTCGACAGTGTGTCATATTCCGTTTGAGTGGGCGTTCAGATAAATCGAAAACAATATTATGTAGAAATATCCAGGGAGATGCGGTAAACACAATGTTCATAATACAAATTGATGTTTCTTTTCAGTTTAAAGAATTATCTGTCTGTCTGTCTATGTAACTATCAACTGGTCATATATATATATATATATATATATATATATATATATATATATATATTAAAGACATTTTTATGTTTAACATTCTGTTTATAATATATATATATATATATATATATATATATATATATATATATATATATATATATATAATAAATGATCGTTATCTATCGATCTATCTATCTATCTATTTATCCCAGTCTGTTCATTATATCTATCTGGCTATCTAGCTATCATACTGCATTATCTATCCATCTTAGTCTGTACATTATCTATCTATCTATCTATCTATCTATCTCTCTGTCTATCTTCTATCTATCTATCTATCTATCTATCTATCTCAATCTGTTAATTTTATCTATCAATCCCAGTCTGTTTCCTTATATATATATATATATATATATATATATATATATATATATATATATATATATATATATATATATATATATCCTATCTGTATTATGTATCCATCTTAGTCTCTACATTTATCTATCTATCTATCTATCTATCTGTCTATCTCTCTGTCTATCTATCTATCTATCTATCTATCTCAGTCTGTTAATTTTATCTATCAATCCCAGTCTGTTCCTATATATATATATATATATATATATATATATATATATATATATATATATATATCATACATCTGTATCATGTATCCATCTTAGTCTCCACATTATCTATCTATCTATCTATCTATCTATCTATCTATCTATCTATCCATCCATCGCAGTATCTTCATTATCTATCTATCTTTCTATTTGGGTAGCAAACTTTATTTTATACATGCTTCATTGTGTTCGAAGTAGATGGAAAATTTTATACGTTATTTATTCAGCTGTTCTTGTGTAGTTATAAAATTCTTTTTAATTCATTTCACTCCAAGCTCAGCGACAATGCCACTAAGGCGTTTCTAGGAGGGAAAAAGTTTGAGGAGACTTTAGGTGAAAGAACCGAAACCCCAATCCCAAACGGGAAACAAGGATTTGGGAGGATTAAGGGAGTGCAAAATTCGTTATTAGTATATTTTTTAACCGTTCAGTGTTTCCGTTTCCTTAGTTCCCGGTTTCAACATGTTCCTTATTCTATCACACACACACACACATACATACACATTTATTTTCTAGTCATTTCTATTTCAATAATCTACCACTGGTGAAAAGGATTATTAACCAATAGTGTATTAATTCCAATCGTACGAAATATTTTGCTCTGATTAGAAAATAAATATTGAGCGCTTTCTGGTGAGTCAGTTTTAACATTTAATATTGTGTGAATTGGATACACTTGGATTATACCAACGAATTACTACTTACACACATATATATATATATATATATATATATATATATGAATTGCACATAAAGTGCTGGTGTTAATGAAATAATGCTCGATGTCATACAACAGAGGTATTAAGTTATTAAGTATGCATTAATACACACACACACACACATATATATATATATATATATATATATATATATATATATAGGTATATATATAGGTAACAATACTCGTTTCGAAAAACCTTCGAATTTGTGATTTGCCAATAATCAAATCAATCTCGAAGGAAACAAAGGTTTTAAAAAAAGAAAGAGCTAAAAACATGAAAGTCTGTCGAAAAAAATCGCACAGATACAGGTTTGAAGCCCAAAGAAAAAACCCCGATACGAGTAAACAACTAACTAACAAAAGATCTCAATACAACCGGAGAGCAGACCTAGATAAACCTAGTGAGCCAGACAAACCTACCCCTGACGATCCGCTTAGGTGAAACCTGGGTAGGTTTGTCTGGCTCACTAGGTTTATCTATCTATCTATCTATCTATCTATCTATCTATGTCTATATATTCTGTGTTTTGGCTTGTAAATGAACAAACCAATACCCAAGGAAAAATAAGGGAAATTAAAAAAGAACTAAGAACATGTAATTGAGGCGAAAACAATCGTCCAGAATCCAAGCTGAGTCCAGAGGAAAAAACCTCCAAACGAGTAAAGCAAAAGTAACTAAGCAAAGTGCTCAATACACTAAGTAGAGCAAATCTAACTATGAACCTAAAGAGCCAAGCAAACCTACCTAGGTTTCGCCTACGCGGATCGTCAGGGTACAATCCGTGTAGGTGAAGCCTTGGTAGGTTTGCCTATTTATGTTCATAGTTATATATATATATATATATATATATATATATATATATATATATATATATATATATATATATATATATATATATATATTATTCCTCACCGTTCGGAGCATGAAACTCTAAATCGCGTGAACGTGAGAGATATATGCATATTATATATATATATATATATATATATATATATATATATATTCATGAATCATTCATACAAAAAGCAAATATAGAGGTTAATGATTTAAATAGCGAGAGTACATCGTCACAAACACATAAATAAGATACACCAACCCCGAACCTGTATATGAATGATATGATCCCTGTTTATAAATTCCAGTTGCATAAGGTCTTTTTCATTTTTTGCAAGCTTTCGTCTGTTCCTACAGACATCATCAGGTATGGAAATAGATTTTTATTCTTGTTTTTACTTTTCGGTAATAAGAGGACAACGAAAATAGAGATGTAATCCGAAAAAATGCTATGAGAAATGTGTTATTGTTTTGGAACGTGCGGTCGCAACCCTGAGTTTGAATTTAAATTTTAAGGTTGTGCGTTTTTGTACAAATATAGTAATAAGAGAATTCTTTTTTACTTGTAAATTTTCCGTCAATGTGGCATGAACTATATTGTTCAATAATTACAGTAATGTCACAGTTATTATTCGAAAGTTGCACGTTGGATCATTTATTTTAATATCAATTAAAAGGTGCAATTATAATTTATAAATTCATGAATCCTTCATACAGAAAAAAGCTTGTAAAAAATTAAAAAGACCTTATGCAACTGGAATTTATAAACAGGGATCATATCATTCATATACAGGTTCGGGGTTGATGTATCTTATTGATATTGTTTGCGATGATGTATTCTCGCTATTTAAATCATTAACCTCTATATTTGTTTTTTGTATGAATGATTCATGAATTTATAAGTTATAATTGCAACTTTTAATTGAAATATATATATATATATATATATATATATATATATATATATATATATATATATATATATAATTATAACATAATTAAACTCATTGAGTCAAGAAGAAACCTCCACAGTATATCTTTGTTTGAACCGGCTTGTAATGCTCTGGACAGAGCGGCTTGGTGATAGTAGTCGTGGCTCCAGGGGGGCACAGTCCTATGGATAGAGAGAAACTCATCAGAGTTCCACCACGCAACATGGGATCGAGCGTCGCTATATTGAGTCTAATTCGTTGCCTCTTTGTCTGCAGCTCGTTGGTACAGTTGGTATGGCGTTTGTCTTCTATCGGATCTGTTCGGATTCCAATTCGCGGTAGTGGATGCCCACTGCTGATGAGTACCAAATATAGGACGAATCGGCCGTCCAGTGCTTTTTGCATTCTGTTGAGGTTTCTTCTAGACTTGATGAATTACTCTATTGTGATTATTTCAAATCCTCCTATATATGTATGTATATTTATTCATTTGTGCCTGTTATTTTTTTTTTAATTTTCTGTGAAATTTTTAATTCTAGAATACGTACACAACTTCGCCAAGTTTCCGTCATAAAAAATCTAATGTGCATTTTGTTTTTCCAGATTTAGGTATATTTTCTCACGAAATTTTGCTACTCTAGGCTAGTGGACGTTAATTACACTTTTGAAAAAAAATCAGAATATGTATGTTGAATCGCGTGTAGCCACTAAAATAACGTTTATAGTAATAAAAAAATCTCTTTCCCTCCCTATCTTTCTCTCTATCTATATATCTTTTTCAATCATTATTTGTGCCATACATTTATTTTACGAATTTAATATGGAGGAAAGTCACGAAACACAAATAAACCGTAATACAAGCCATTTGTTTTAATGTATCGCTCTGCAGTTGACTTCATTTTTCCTCTGTGTATATGCCATATTGGACGTTTATGAAAGCCCGCACCAAATCATTGGGAAAGTGGACGAAAACTCGTAGAAGAAAGAAAGAATATATATATATATATATATATATATATATATATGTATAAAGCACCGAGAAAGAAAGAGAAATATATATATATATATATGATAAGGAAATTGTTGATGATATCTATTTGTTTTTTTTTTTGTTTCTTTTATCTGTCGTCTGAATGTGAATTATCTTCCTGGCACGCATATTTCTTTTATTTTCTCTGAACAACCCCCCGCCCCCGCCCTATCCCGGTCAGAGTTTTACTTTCCAACGCCACTTTCCTTTCTATCGATGAGTTCTCGTTCTGTGCAACGAGATTTACATCAGAATGGTAACAAGTACCGTTTTCCGACATCAATAATCCATTCTCCATGGCCAGGGAAAAACAATAGACGAACATTAGCAGACGATAATATTATACGGCAATCGTATATTTTTCTTTTCTCATTTTGCTTTTTTGGACACAAAAAGCGAATGAAGAATTTCCGTTTCTGATATACACAAAACAAAATGGCGGATGAGAATAATGTACATATTATTAAAAAAAGACGTTTAATTTTTTAAAGTTTTTTCTTTTCTTTTTGAAAACAGTAAAAAACAAAAGGAAAGGAAAATGTTTTAGTATAGCAGACGATCATATTATTCATGGTAATATTTCATTTTAAAGTACTTTTTTACATATTGTTTATCCTGTAGTATATAACATATCCGAGAAAATGCGTGAGAAAGTTTGCCTAGGTAATCTTGTTAAATAACTTCTTTCTTTCATTCTCGAATTTGATTTAAATCTAATACAAGTCGACATTTATTGGTAGAGTTCCATAGCTGAGTGACGCAGATGCAAAGTGTGATTTTCAAATCCTTCGTTTTACATAAAAAATACGGAAATTATAATACTTTTCTTTCACTTGGAGTGTAAATGTCTTAATAAAAATGTTTTACCGTTAATATTAACCTAGAATGGCACAAGTTTAAAATCGTTGAGCACTGAATGAAGATCCGACATATCCCGGTGTTTCGTGTTTTATGATCAGCGATAAGGTCTGTGAAATGAGGTCTTTCATATATCTCAACGCTTGAACAGAAAAGGCTAAAAAAGGAAAATATTGATGTCAAGTGAGAATAAGCTCGGCACTTCGGACATCCAGTCGTAGGCTTGTAGTAACAGAAACAGTTTGGGATTGAGAGTTCTGAAGTGACCTTGTATGGAGTTAGACTGTCTTTCGAAATAGCGACGGGCTGATCGTTACCGGACGATAATTGACCGTCGTGGTTGTTACCATGATGAGATGTAACGTTCAGATGAGTATAGGAGTGATAGGATAACTATCTTCAAGTATCACGTACGTACCTACCCACCTTATTCTTGTTCTACATTCTCTACTCATGTCTGGTGATCGATGGCCTGGGTTACATGTCATGTTAAATCGGAATGTGACCTCATAGATTTTTTAGCATCTGTTTCCCGATTTAAATTGCCATCAGCATGAATTTAGATCGGTACCTAAGATATATATATATATATATATATATATATATATATATATATATAAGTGCAAGAAAGATGCAAAACACATAACATTTAGATCGGGAAAGAAATGCAAAAATAAGATGGAAAATGGTGATATTTAGATCGGGGAAAAATGCATGAAAGATGAAAAGATAAACAAAAACATGATATTTAGATCTGGAACAAGATGCAAAAAGATGCAAAATCGTGATATTTAGATCGTGAACAAAATGCTTGAAAGATGCAAAAAATATGAAAAAAAGATGAGATCTAGATCAGGAACAAGATGCAAAAAAGATGTAAAAACGTGATATTTAAATGTAGTGCAAAATGCAAAAAAGACGCAAAAAATTGCTAGAAACATGAGATTTAGACCTCAACAAGATGGCGTGTCAGTTCAAAGAAATTGACGATAATAGCTCTCCACAACTTCCTGCCTTTTCTAGCTATGGACAAAATTTGTCTCGTTACTTTGCCTCTACATTCATTTTCTCCGTCTGTCAGTCCATTTAAGTAAGCTCACTTCTTTCTGCCTCTTGACTCAGTTATGTACTGTGAGTGTAAAATTTTCCAAGCTCTCTTTCCTCGCTATAGGTCCTCATTGTCTGTGTCTAGTTCTAAGTAAAGGTGTCCTATTTACTTGCATTTTCCTTAAAACTTACTCGTTGCTCACATGTTCTGTCCATGGAATTATCAGCATCCATTTGTATAACCATATATCTGTTGCTTTAAGTCTCGTCGTCATCTGTGAGGAAATTCTGCTGCCGTATTAGAGGTTAGATGTTACATCGAAGTTTAGCACTCTTTGTTTACTAACGAAATTTCCTATCCTACCAAGAGCAGGATGTCGTAAAGGGCCACGATCGCCTATGCCTTAAACGGACAGGGAATATAAAAGAAATCTTCAGTGGAGAACAAGAAAGAATGTGCCCAACGAGGGCGAATTTTAGGCGACTCTCCGTTTGCATCGTTCGTTGACATTGTATTATTGGCCTGTTCAAGTCTAGGTGCAACTGTTATCTCCTCCACGTATACCCGTAAACTGTGACTTTTACTCCGGATACCTCTACCTCGAGTGGCTCTTGGGCCTAGTACGAGGGGAACAAAAACTACGAAATTGTGCGAAGTTCAGCATAAGATAAAAATAGAAGTCGCCCAAAGTTTGAGGTTCTAAAAGTCGGCGTTCGAATGAGGGATTGAAAAGGCATCTAATTCAGCCATTATTCCAGACACAGTCACTGATAAATTTTCCCCCGAGGAAGAATAATAAAAAAGAAAGGACGAAGTAAACATTTTATTGAATTTT